ACGGCCTTTCGTTAAAAACGATGGATCTGTGTCCTGAGCTTCCAAGACGGCCCGTGCAGGCAACCAAGGACACCAATATAATCTAAGATGCCTCGAAGACAGCCCAAGATGGCCTCAAGGCGGCCGAAAATTGACTCAAGACGGCCCAAGATGGCCCCACATGGCCACAAGAGGATCTCAAACAGGGTCCGAAACCTTGTTCTTTGACAGATGCTATCGTTATCGTCTTTCGGGCTACAACCAGCTCAAGACCTGCCCAAGAAGACCCCACGATGGCCCACGAAGCATCCAAAACGGCTCCAAGACGGCTCAAGAAGACTCCCGTGAGACCCACGACGGTCATAGAAGGCCCTTCGACGGCCCAAGACGGCGCCAAGACGGCTCACGACTGCACCCAGACACCCACCATACGGCCAAGAGGACCCCAAGACGACCCAAAAGAGCTCCGAGCTGGCGTAAGATGGCCCCAAGGCGGCTCAAGAGGGCCCCGCGGAACCCTCAAGACTCCTTCACAAGAGGCCATGACAGCCCCAAGGCGGCCCAATCACGTACCATCATCATCATCATCATCATCATAATCATCATCATCATCATCATCATCATCATCATCAGCATCATCATCAACATCCTTACCACCATCACTATCGTCTGTATCACTCACCATCCTCATCATCGTCCTCACCACCATCATCATCCACTTCCTCATCCGCATCCTTATCATCACCCTCATCATCACAGTCATCATTCTCATCGTCATCGTCATTGTCATCGCCATTAGTATGATGAGGACGGTCGCCATCATCATGAACATCATGAACATCATCATCATCAACATCAACATCATCATCATTACCATCATCGCCAACGCCATCCTCATCATAATCCTTACCACCATCCTCATCAACACACTCATCATTTTCGTCACCATCGTTATCGCCATCGTCATCATCACCGTCATCATCATCATCATCATCAGCATCATCATCATTACCATCATCGACAACGTCGCCGTCATCGTCACCACCATCGTCGTCATCACGATCATCATCATCACCATCACCATCATCAGCATCATCACCATCAACGCCATCATCATCACCACCATCATCGTCATCATCGTCGTCGTCATCACCATCATCAACTGCAGAAGCATCACCATCAACATCATTATCACCATCGTCATCATCACCATCACCATCACCAACAGCATCACCATCAGCACCATCATCGTCATATTCATCATCCCCATTACCAACGCCACATCGTTATCACCATCACCACCATCACAACCACCGTCACCATTCACCATCACCGTCACCATCGCCACCCCCACCATCACCGTCATCATCATCGTCGTCGTCGTCATCGCTGGCGTCATCATCGTAATATCATCATCACCGCCCTCATCATTATCACCATCACCATCACCACCATCATCATCATCACCATCAGTACCATCATCCTCATCTTCATCCTCATCATCATCACCATCATCCTCCTCATCCTCATCCTCAGCATCATCATCAGCATCGTCATCGTCATCATCATCATCATCATCATCGTCATCATCATCACCATCTTCCTTCTTCTTCTTCTTCAGCATCATCATCATCACCATCATCTTCCTTCTTCAGCATCATCATCATCATCGTCATCGTCACTGTCGTCGTTATCACCCGCATCATCCTCATCATCCCCATCACGGCTCTCCCAAACCAATGTCACACGCGACGGCCTCCCGTGCCCCTTCGAACAATCGCCACCCAGAAAGCTGGGCTGGCACGGTAGCGGACTTGCCGCAGGCAGCTGGATCCTGCCTGCATATTTGGTGATGTGTCTCGTGCAGGAGGCCATGTTGCGCGGTGGAAGGCTGGGGTCGAAGTAGCACCTCGCAATTGCGGGTAAGAGTGAGGCATCGGACGAGTGGGTCGCGGTGTGGGTCGGGGGGCGGGTCGCGGGTGGGTCGCGGGTGGGTCACGGGGTGGGATCGCGGGGTGTGTCGCGGGTGGATCGCGGTCGGGTCGCGGGCGAGGACGACAACAGCAGCAGCAACAACAACAGCAGCAGCAACAACAATATCAACAATCAATGCAAGTCTGTTAGCTCTCATGCCCGTGCGCCATTCAACACGTACATCCCGAACCCTCGTAACCCGGCCTCTGCGTCTTCGATCGTGCCCCCCCCCCTGGGGGATAGATCTTCCCGACCTGCCGCGTGCAGCTGGCGCCGCCCCCCAAGACAGGGGCGGGATGGGGAGGAGGGAAGAGACAATCGGGTCGGGCGAAAGGGGGGGATAGCAAAGGGGGGGTTTGAGAATCAGCTCACGTAGCTGATTTTCCCGGCGCCTCCCGGCGCCGGAGGCGGCCATGTATCGAGGAATGGGCCCCTCGGTGAGGCCGAAACCAGCTGCATGCAGCAAATTTCGTAACCCCCCCTTTCCCAATCCCCCCCTTTCGCCCGACCCGAGACAAGGGGCAGGGAGCAGGATGGAACACGAGAGAACTTTGCAGGAGGAGGCCTGGGACCAGCAGCACAGGCGGCAGAAGCAGCTCGGCGTGCCGGGCGGGCGGACCCTTCACAGGCAAGTCGGGCGGGCGGGCCCAGATGGCCGGGTCGAGCGGATGGGTCGCTAGAGCGTCAACCCATTACGACGCCATCCCAAAGTAAATCGTTAGGAAATCCACAGCGAGAGCGTGATCTGTGAGTCTCGGGGGCGCAGCGCCGCAATACATTGTGAGGAAGTACCACGCGAGCGCGGGATTCCTGGATCAATTATGAGGTCCCGCGCGAGAGCGCGTATTTGAACATAAATTTGAGGAGGTATCAGGCGGGAGCCGTTGTTGTAAGCCGGGGGGCAGTTTGGTGACCACAGATTTTCCCGGATACGAGAAAACAATGTGCGAGCCCCAGGAATAGCACTTTAATTGAAAAGTGCAATGGTCACCAGGGGATCAACAATATTATTTGTTTGACTTGAGATGCCAACAACAACAGCAACAACAACACCACCACCACCACCAACACCACCACCACCGCCATCACCACCACCAACATGAACAACAGCAACAACGATCATGTTAAGACTTTCCGCTCCTTATCTTCTCGCTCCCACTCAACACGTATATCCCGAACCCTCGGTACCCGCCCTCCTCGTCTTCGATCGTATCCCCTCGGGGGTATATCTTCCTTACCTGTCACGTGCATGTAGCGCAGCCCCTAGAACAGGGGAAGAGAGGACGGATTGAAAGGTAAGGGAGAAGGATGGAGCACGAGAGAAATTAGGAGGGGGGCTAGGAGCAGAAAACACGTAGGCAGAACCAAGCGGGCAGATCGGGCGGGCAGACCGTAGCGGGCAGGTCGGGAAGGCGGGCCCAGGCGGCCAGGTCGAGAAGGCGGATTGCTGATGCGTGAATCCTGCATGAATTGCGAGGGGGTCTCGAGCGATAGTGCGATTCCCGAGTCAATCGTGAGAACGGCCACAGCGAGAGCGTGATTCCTGAGTGTCGAGCGCGCGGCGTCGGAGTAAATTGCGAGGGAGTCCACGCGAGAGCGCGACTCCTACGTACACTGTGGGGAAACCCTGCGCGAGAGCGCGATCTTGGAACACATGGAGGGATTATCGAACGGGAGCCGCTGTTGTAGCCTGGGGGGCCCAAACCATAGCTTGAACACGGAGGCTTTCCCTGAACAAAAAAAGAAGGGGCGAGCCCCGAGGGCGGCGCTCTGATTGAAAACCACAGTGTGCACCAGTGCGGGGGATCAACAGCAATACTTATTTCAAACATTACATCACTCAACAACAAGGGCAACACTATCATCATCATCATCATCACCGTCATCATCATCATCATCATCACCATCATCATCATCATCATCAGCAGCATCATCATCATCATCATCACCATCATCATCATCATCGTCATCATCACCATCATCATCACCATCACCATCACCATCATCATCATCATCATCATCATCATCATCATCATCATCATCATCATCATCATCATCATCAACCAAGCAGAATTCGCGCAGCGGGATCACTCTTCAGACGCGCACCCAGGGACAATGAACGACCGTTTGGCACCCTCACTCTGACAAGAACAAACTTGCGTTCATCATAGCTCGCGCAGCTTGGCCTAGCTTGGCGGGAGGGACTCTACCGCCGATATCTCCCCCAGTTGTTTTTTTTTGAACAAAAAACATGGCACCTTTGCGGCAGACGACCGTTAACAGCTTTACACAGTCACGACGGAGTCCACGATGGGGGGTCACGCTGGAGGGCCACGATGGGGGGATCGGGACAGGAACAGGGGCAGTGCTGCAGGGGCAGGGACAATGAGATGGGGATCATGGGGAGTAAAGATAAGGATCGAAAAGTCTAAGGACCGAGGCCGAAGGATAGGGATATGGATAATTAGGGATGTGGGGCAGCAATGGGAGACCACGGGAGGCCCACGCCTCCCGACCGACCCCAGATCCGGCAGCCCACCTGGGCAGGGGGAGGCCACGCCGCCCGACCGCTTCGGGATCCGTCAGTCCACCTGCCAGTCTCTTGCAAAGGTGCTTCGGAACCCTTACAGACATACTGTTGAGGGCAATTCTGCGCCACCGCTCCGCGCGATCTGCCGCATCATGGCGCAGTGTCCGTGCGAGACAGCAAGGTTCCGAACCACGCCCAACAAAGGCCGTCGCGTGTGAATCACATCGTGGACCAATCAGCCTTGTGCAGTCATGCTACCTTATCCACCTCGAAGCCGCAATACAATTCGGATTGCTTGTCCCCCGATTTCCTCCATCCGTCTTCGCTTGGACGGTGTGGTTAGCCGTCGCCGACGCCACCTCCTGCCAGATGGGCTTGCTTTTCAGGATGGGAGAGAAGCAGGGCCCCGTAAACGGGAAGTTTGATCAACAAGGACACTGACCACTCCCGAGAAAACTGCAGCCGCGCGTCGAAGCAGTCCCCACTTTCGTCTCGCCCCGCTGGATCTGGCAGAGTCCTGGCTTGTGCCGTCCTGCATCGCGGGGCCCTGAAAAAGATGGGCTGGGAGACAAGAGGGAGGAGCATGGGGGGTGTACGGCAGGGCCACCAGTGTTGTGGATGCCACGATAATGGACACCCTACCAGTCCTATCCTTCACTGTTAAATGTGTTTAACATTTAGGACAAAGTTCTAAACATGTTTTCAACATGTGTTTGACATGGTTAAAGCATGTTTTTGACATGTTTTAGACACCTGGAAATCATTTGGCAACATGCTTCCTCTCCACTGATCGTCCTCCACAACACCAGTGGGCGGTACATCTCTGAAGCCTGCCTGCGAGGCCAGAGGGGGGTGGCGCTCTGCGCTCCAACATCGTTCTCGTCGGGTCTTTCTCATCGAGTGTGGCATGACTGCGGCAGAGCAGATGTTAACTTGCAGAGCGGGCCAAAGTTTCACAGAAGGATCGCCCACGACTATGCGAAGGGCCGGACGTGGGACGGATGAGGCGGGGGGTGGGGGGGTCAACTGCTCAAGGTGAGTGAACTCGTAGATGCTCGCCGCTTCCCGTGCGCGCTGAAAGGGGACAGCCCAGACTGCTGACTGACTATCCAACAGTACGCAAGCGGCATTGCGAGGTTCGTCGCCAGGGGGTGCTGTAGGGAGGGAAGAAGTCGAGGACACTGTGGAGGATGCGGATGGTGTGAACAAGCAGGAACATGAACAGAAGGGAAAGCAGCTCGGAAAGCTACATCCGAAAACCGGATCAATATAATTATCATATAAGACATCTGGGCCAACTGCCCAGGAGGTTCTTACACCATGCCTGGGCCAGTTTTTGTTGTTAGCACTGGAGGGGCGAACGTGTTCAAGAAAATGGGCCAGCTTTCTGGCAAGTTGGCTAAGAAACGCTGGCCCAGCTTTTCGGGAGGTTTCTTAATGGAGTGCTCGACTGCACAGTGCTTATTATTCAGGTGCGCAGGCGCCACGCATTGTCTTGAACACCAGGTGCCCAAACCGCTGAGGCGTCTGTCTTTCGAGTAGAAGCGGTGAGCACAATGTTTCCTTTACGCGTAACTTCTTCTGGACGTGTTCTGCAGCAGAGCGACCCGGAGGAGCTCTTGGGGCCAAAGGGGCCTCGTCACGTCGTCGGGACGTGCCCCATGTCCGTGAAGCATCAAAAGCATCAAATGCTCGGCTAATCATGTGGTCTGACGTGAAGCCGTTGGCGGCGCAGCGCTCGAAAGCTTGAAAACAAACGTGACGTGTGGTCTGCGTGTAGTGCCCAGTGTTGTCTGAAGCCGCTGAGGCCTTCCCAGCCTCAGAGAACGATGTAATCTGTGATCGGCGTGTTCGAAGGCAGGAGCCAAACGCGAATGACAGGCGAACGTTCTAGCTGCTGCGGCCTTTCAGGAGGTCGCAGCTGGGATGTGGGCGAGGGTGGGGTACAGTCAACCCGTATAGTAAGGATGCTCGATACGGATGCAACGGCCTTGGAAGCCCATCTCGAAGCTTCACGAGCGGGGCGCGGCCAACGAAAGCGGCCAAGGATGGACCCAGGAGGCCAGGGTGCGAGGGTACGCTTGGGAAGGCCGCCCGTCCTTCCTGTGCGGGTTGACTGCTGACTGTAGGGGGGGGGGGGGCGGGAGCATCGATAGCCGTGGACCCCGATCAGGGGAACAAAAAGTAACATACATATAAAAACTCGGAGGTCCGCGCGGATTTCTCGGATCGGCGCTGGGGCCCCCCGGCGGCGCCTCCAGCGCCGCCCCTGGCGCGCTCCGCGCGCCAGGGAGGCGGGTCCAGCGCGGATCCGAGAAATCCGCGCGGACCTCCGAGTTTTTATGTTTCTGCCACTTTTTGTTCCCCTACCGATGCCCAGACGGCGACGACTTCAGACCTGCGCGCCGGGGCACCCTCTCGGGCTGCCCGGCGCGGCTCGCCACAGGGCAAAAAGCAGGCGGTGACAGAGCCCGCGAGGGCCTCGGGGCCCCCCCAGGCCGGGGCCGCGGAGCTGAGGCCGAGCGCCCGGCGCGCCCTCCCTCCGGAGCAACGGCGGCACCATGCGGCGGCGAGCGAGGAGGGGAATACGTGTGAGTGAAAACAAGTGTGATAAAGAATGGGAATAAGAGGGAAACCAAGAGTGATAGAATAAGTGAATAAGTGAACAAGAGGGGGAATCAGTGTGATAAAGCAACGCAGAGATACAACTTGTTATCACATGATCACACTTGTATTTTATCACACTTGTTCAGGGGGAGAAGGCCTGCTCAGAAGACGGAGGGGCCTCTCAGAAGCCCTCGCGCCTTCCGAGAGGTTCTCTCTCTGTCTTCGGGGAAGGCTTCGAAAACACTTCGCAGAAGGCGGGGGGGGGGACTTCCGAACTCTCTGAGGGGACCTTCTCCCTCTCGCTTCCCCCTCCTCGCTCGCCGCTGAACCGCACCTATGTCATAGATGTCCGAAGAGATTCCGGCTGGTGACCAAATATATTGTGACATGAGAGGGTGCAGTGCGGGCGCGGTCGCAAGAAACCCTCGCAAGAAACCCAACCCTGAGAACTCGTGCGTAAGGTTCCCCTGAGGGGAAGCCCAGAGCACCCTGAACGCAGCAGCCTCTTTGACGCCCGCGGGATGCCACCGCGCAGCGCGCGGAGCGAAGAAACCCAGGCTACCCTGACGAAAAGCAGCTGAGTTCTTGATGCGCGCCCGAGGAGGAGGAGGAGGAGGAGGAGGAGGAGGAGGAGGAGGAGGAGGAGGAGGAGGAGGAGGAGGAGGAGGAGGAGGGGAAGGAGGAGGAGGAGGAGGAGGATGAGGAGGAGAGGAGGAGGAGGCGGAGGAGGAGGAGGAGGAGGAGGAGGAGGAGGAAGAGGAGGAGGAGGAGGAGGAGGAGGAGGGAGGAGGAGGGAAGGAGGGAGGAGGAGGGGAGGAGGAGGAGGAGGAGGAGGTGGAGGAGGAGGAGGAGGAGGAGGAGGAGGAGGAGGAGAGGAGGAGGAGGAGGAGGGGAGGAGAGGAGGGGAGGGGAGGAGGAGGAGGAGGGAGGGAGGGAGGGAGGGAGGGAGGGGAGGGAGGGAGGAGGGAGGAGGGAGGAGGAGGAGGGGGGAGGAGGGAGGAGGGAGGAGGGAGGGGGAGGGAAGAGGGAGGAGGGGGAGGAGAAGGAGGGAGGAGGAGGAGGAGGAGGAGGAGGAGGAGGAGGAGGAGGAGGAGGAGGAGGAGGAGGAGGAGGAGGAGGAGGAGGAGGAGGAGGAGGAGGAGGAGGAGGAGGAGGAGGAGGAGGAGGAGGAGGAGGAGGAGGAGGAGGGGAGGAGGAGGAGGAGGAGGACCACTGTATGTGGCGAGCTCCGAAAACCCTGAACCCAAACACATTGTCGTCTCGCGGGGGGCAGGGTATCATCACCTCCGCCGGCGGAGAGCCGCCGCCTCTGTTCTACCTCTGCCGCCTCTCGCCGACCGTCCGTCGCCGGCACAGCCGAGGAAGCGGTGCCAGCTCCGTCGACCATCGAAGACAAGGCTCTCTCTGCAGAAGAAGGAAGAGCGGCATGAACATGATAACTTTTCGCGGAGCGCCAGAGGTTTCTGTTTATGGCGATGTTTCTTCCTCGATTCTGGAGGGCCTCATGTGTGTACACGCTGCAGGTGCCGAGCGCGGGAGCATGTGGTCAGTGCTCATGCCACGAGCGGGGGGGGCTGCTGCCAGCCTCGGCCTCTGCGGTGTGCGAGGCGGTGGCGGTGGCGGTGGCGCTGCTGGACACCGTGACCCTGGCAGCGTCGGCCCGCCCTCCGATCGGATGACGCTGAGACCAAGTGGGCGACGAAAAGGAAACAGGTCTGACGCGAGATGACATAACGACCTTACGCGGTGGCTTACGCGGGCCGCCAGAGTGGCACACCGCGAGGAGAACAGGGCGCTCATGCGCGACCTTGCGCGGGCAACTTATGCGCGAATGCCCGCGCAATCGAACCCGTTTTTCTGCGCTGCTCAACTGTCCACAGCGGTGTGGGGTGTGTGCGCCCGTTTGGCGCGCTGGGGCAGGCGCTTCCAAGGAGCGCGTACAATCATCTGCTCTCTCTCTCTCTCTCGCCCTCTCTCTCTCTCTCTTTTCTCGTCTCTTGGCAGCACGGGCAAATCGGAGCCCGATTGGCGGGCGCGGCACTCTGGCAATCGTGGGCTGCCCTCACTTGCCACGGTGGCCACTTCTGCAAACCTTGAACCAAACACAACACATGCTTGTATATGGCGCCAATGGGTTGCCACGTTCGTGCGCGTTTTTTTGGCAGCCGCACGGCCGACGAGACAAGCCGTGAGATACGCCATGCTCCAAAAACACGCTTCTAACTCGCATGCCGTAACGGTGGCATGCAATTATCATCGCAGGCTCAGCGAAACACGGCGCGCCCATTCTGCAACATCGACAGCGTGCACATGATCGCAGCCATACAAGACACCCCCGCCTGCACTGCTGCTGTCGACAATAATGCTGCCAACCATGACCAGACTTCTACGATACTAAAGACGTGTCTCTCGTACGTTGTAGCTGAAAGCATGCTGCCCCGATAATGCATTTGCTTCCGCATTCGGACCTCCGCCAGAATGCTTGCCGGCATCGGCACCCTCCGCTTGGGCAGTTGAGTGCGGATTCGCCCACCAACTTCAATCGTGGAGCATGCTGGCGCGAGCCCCGTGCCACCAGCACGCTGCTCACTCTATGCGCAACCACTTTCTGATGTGCTGGCCCCGAGGACTAGGCTCACCCCAGCCTGCCCCGACTACCTGCTCTGAAGACTGCGCGCCGACATGACCCACGCGCGGCAGCGGGGGAACAACATACGCCTTTCTTCTCGATTGTGCTGCGCGCGATGCATCGGCGATGCGGCGAGCTCCTCCGACCCCATCTGCTCCGACCCAAATCTATTCCGATCCCTCTGGGAGGCCTCGAGTGCCCAGGCGGCGTACTCGGGCTGCAGTCAACGTGTATCCGCCGCCGTGCCTCTGGGCGCGGAGTGGGCGTGTCCTCAGTTCCTTTCCTAGGGGGTCACATGCGAACCCTACCCCTGCCCCCACGATTTCTGAGGGGGGGGTATGGGGTAGGGTTCGCATGTGTGGCCCCCTATTTTCCTAATCCTCCTCCTCCTCCTCCTCCTCCTCCTCCTCCTCCTCCTCCTCTCCTCCTCCTCTCCTCCTCGGGAGTCTTCACAGGAGCCCGGAGCCCAAATTCCGAAATCTCGTGGTGCTCCCGGCGCGCGCCTCTCCTGGGGCTTCCTGGTTCCCTCGGGGGCTTCCCGTGTGCCCCCTGGGCTCTCCCGCGCATCTCGTCGCGTGACTTGCTCTGGCTCAAGGAGGGCCTCAAGAATGGCTCCAAGACGGTCCAGGAGGAACCCGAGACGCCAAGAGAGCGGCCCAAGACGCCCAAGGTATAGCCCCAGGGTGGCCCCAGGGGCCCCCAAGACGCCCCAAGAAGCTTCCAAGAGACCTCCCAAAAGGCCTCCCAAGAAGGCCTCAGGCAGGAGCGAGCAGTCTCAAAATCAGCGTTGTTGTTGTTGATGTTGATGTTGATGTTGATGTTGATGTTGATGATGTTGTTGTTGTTGTTGTTGTTGTTGTTGTTGTTGTTGTTGTTGTTGTTGAACATTATTACTTCTAAAGAATAATTATTGTTGGGGCCCCTGGTGCACGACCCCCCCGCCGCGCCTAGGCCGCAGCCTCATTTTCATCATTTTCGTGAGGAAGTCTCAGGCAAAACGGGTTGGTCCGGATCCGGTTGTGTTGTTACGATCGGTTTTCCCTTGCAAAAAATAAGCTAAAGTGGACATTTCTTGTTCTAACATAACCAAACTTCAAGAATCCCTTGCAAAAATAAGGTAAAGTGGACATTCGCGCGCGCAAGACGAAATCCTTCCAAAACCTTAGTTTTCGTAGCGATTTTAACATAAAAACATCAAAACAACCAATGGTTAAAAATTGTCAAAATTTCATCCCGCGCGCTCTTGCGGATTCGTAGGAAACCCAACACTTTTTAAACATTTCTGTCAAACGGGCTTTTGCGAGCAACTTTTTCGAACTTCTGCAACAACGGTTGCGCACCTGCCAGGGCCATCATCCCTGTCAAATAATACCATGCGGGACACATTCGTTTTTTCTTCGCGCGCGCACGCCGTCGTCGTCGGCCGCGGGGCCCTGAATAGTAGCCACGGTCGTCCGCATGCCACGAAGTGAAGTGTCCGAACGTCATAGGGCGGGAAGCTGGGTGTGGGTGGTGGCGAAGAGTCGTTTGGAAATTTGGTAGAGCTTGAACCGGCCCCCCCACAAAGTGGGGGTATTGCCCGCCTCCTATGAAAACCCTGGCACTGGTGAGAACGGAGTGTCCCCACGTGCTAGTAATTGTTGTTGTTGTTGTTGTTGTTGTTGAGGTTGTTGTTGTTGTTGTTGAAATCTCACGACTGAAAAATAAATATAATTGACCCCCTCCCCGGTGACCCTAGTGTGTTTTTCACTTGAAGTGCTTCCCCCGGGGCTCGCCCCCTGTTCTTTGCTAGGGGAAGTCACTCAGCTCAAACTGCTTTGTTTGCCCCCGTTTTACAACAACAACAACAACGGCGCCCGCCTGAGACTCCCACACAATTTAGCCAAGACTCCCGCTCCCGCCTAAGACTACCTGGCATTTTACTCAGGAGTCGCGCTCTCGCTTTGGACTTCCTTACACTGTATGCAGGAATTTGCTTCTCGGCGCTCAGGCGTCGCGCTCTCGTTGGACACTCGCTTGCAATTTACGTAAGAATCGCGCTCTTGCGTTGAAGTTCCCCGCAATTTACTCAAGTGCCGCGCTCCCGACACTCAGGCACCCAGGAGTCGCGCTCACGCTTAGGACTCCCTCACAGCTTACTTCGGGGTCGGGATCTCGCTGCCCTTCGTGACCCCGTTGCACCCCTTTGTGGTCCCCTTGCTGGGTTTCGTGGCCCCGTTGCAACCCTTCGTGGCCCATTCGCTGCCTTTCGCGGCCCCGTTGCACTTCTTCGTGGCCCCTTCGATGCCCGTCTTGGCCCCGTTACACCCTGTCGTGGCCCCCTCGCTGCCCTTCGTGGCTCCGTTGCTGCCCTCAGTGGCCCCGTCCTTGCCCTCTGCGGCCCAATATACGCAGGACCTTCGTGGCCCCCGCTCGTTCGTCCCGTCGTGGCCCCATATGCATGCCCTCCGTGGCCCCGCTGTCGCCCTTTGTGGCCCCCTCGCTGTCCCACGTGGCCGCGTTGCTAACCTCAGTGGCCCCGTCGTTGCCTTCTGTGGCCCCGCATGATCTGCCCTTCGTGGCACCCGCTCGTTCGCGCCCTTCGTGGCCCCAAACGCATGCCCTTCGTGGCCCCGCTGTCGCCCTTCGTGGCCCCTCTTCCTGCCCTCCATGGCCCCGCTGCTGCTTTCGCTTTCGCTTTCGCTCTCGCTCTCGCTCTCGCTCTCGCTCTTGCTCTCGTTCGTCGTCGTCGTCGTCGTCGTCGCCGTCGCCGTCGCCGTCGCCGTCGCCGTCGCCGTCGCCGTCGCCGTCGCCGTCGCCGTCGCCGTCGCCGTCGCCGTCGTCGTCGTCGTCGTCGTCGTCGTCGTCGTGGTCGGTCCCCTGTCCGTCACTCTGGGGGTTCGCTTGCTGCCGATCAGCGCTGCCCCTGGCCAGGCCGACGGTCCGCCGCCGCCCCGCCACTTGCCCCGGCCCGGCCTGCAGGGAAGAAATATTTACTCACCAACAAGGGTACGATCGAAGACGAAGAGGGCGGGTATCGAGGGTTTGGGAAAAACACGTTGACTGACACTCGAACGTGTAAGAGCGAACAGTCTTGAAATGATTGTTGTTGTTGTTGCTGTAGTTCGGGGGCCAACAGCCCAAGCTGAGCCGTAAGACATTCACTCGTAAATTAATCTGGCGAAGGACCCAACCGTATGCAGTTGTGAATTCCGCAGTTGTAAGTATCGTTTTCGGTGACGCCCCCTTTATGGTGCCACGAAGCGCTGTACCGGGCGGGGGAGACGCATGCGGACTGCGCCACTGGGACCCTCGGTGGAGCTCCCTATGGGGCATCGGAATGCAATAGTGGGTCGGGGAAACGCATGCGAACTGCGCCCCTGGGACCTCCGGTGGGGCTCCATTAGGGGCCACGAAAAGCTGTATTGGGTGGGGGAAACGCATGCGGGCTGCGCCCCTGGGACCTTCGGTAAAGATTCCTTACAGGGCCACGAAGCGCTGTACTGGGTGGGGGGGGGAGACGCATGCGGGCTGCGACACTGGGACCTTTGGTAGAGCCCCCTTTGGGGCCACGAAGCGCTGTACTGGGTGGGGGGGACGCATGCGGGGTGTGCCACTGGGACCCTCGGTGGAGCTCCCTATGGAGCCACGAAAAGTTGTACTGGGTGGGGGAAACGCATGCGGGCTGCGCCATTGGGACCTTCGGTGGGGCTCCCTCTGGGGCCACGAAGCGCTATACTCGGTGGGGGAGACGCATGCGGGCTACGACACCTGGCCCTTCGGTTTAAAATATGAGATAAGGCCACGAAGCGCTGTACTGGGTGTGGGAGACGCACGCGGGCTGTGTATTTGGGACCTTCGGTGGAGTTCCCTATGGGGCCACAGAACGCTGTACATGGTGGGGGAGACGCATGCGGGCTGCGACACTGGGACCTTCGGCGAAGCTTACTATAAGGCCACGAACGGCTGTACTGGGTGGGGGGGGACGCATGCGGGCTGCGCATTTGGGACCTTCGGTGGAGCTATGGGGCCACAAAGCGTGCGAGGGGTGTGCCAAAATGAAGGAGTGACGGGGGGGTGGGGGAGGGAGGAGGGGAAGGAGGAGGAGAGGAGGAACGCGTGGCACTCTCTGCACAACGAGGACCCAACACCACAGGATGGTTGGGAAAAATCGATCATTAGCCTGGCGAAGAACCCAACCATATGCTGTTGTGAGCACAGCAGTTGTGGGTGTCGTCATCCGTGGAGCCCCCTATGGGCCACGAAACGCTGCACCGGGTGGGGGAGACGCAACCTCCCCATGGGGCCACGAACAGCTGAACAGGGTGGGGGAGACGCATACGGTCTGCGCCACTGGGACCTTCGGTGGAGCTCCCTATGGGGCCACGAAACATTGTAGTTGGTGGAGGAGACGCATGCGAACTGCGCCACTGGGACCTTCGGTGGAGCTCCCTATGGGGCCACGAAGCGTTGTACTGGCTGGAGGAGACGCGGACCTTCGGTGGAGTCCCCCCTGGGGCCACGAAGCGCTGTACTGGGCGGGGGGGCGCAAACGAACTGCGCCACTGAAGCCTTCAGTGGAGCTCCCTATGGGGCCACGAAGCATGCGAACTGCGCTACTGGAATCTTCGGTGGAGCTCCCTATGGTGCCACGAAGCGCAGTACTGGGTGGGGGAGACGAATGCGGACTGCGCCACTGGAACCTTTGGGGGGGCTCCCTATGGGGGCACGAAGCGCTGCACTGGGCGGGGGAAACGCGACCTGGCCTGCGACCCACCCGCGACCCGCCCGCGACCCGCCCGCGACCCACCCGCGACCCACCCGCGACCCACCCGCGACCCAAACGGCGACCCACACGTGACCCACCCGCGACCCATCCGCGAGTCACCCACAACCCACCCGCAACCCACCCCGCGACCCACCCGCAACCCGCCCGCGACCCACCCGCGACCCAACCCGCGCCCGCCCCCTCACTCTTATCCGCAACTGTGGGGTGCTACGGAAGGGGAACGGATTAAGAAAAGGGAAGGGAGAAGAACAGGGAATAGGCATTCTGAGGCGTCATTTGGGGTCCGGGTGTTTCTTTGGGGCTACGGGGAACCCAGAAACAGCAAACGGTCCTGGGGCTTGAGGCTCTCTAAAGACCTCGTTAACAACTATCGGAGTCTCTTGGGGAGGCTTTGGGGCATCTAGGAGTGGTCTGGGGCCTCTGTGGGGTTTGGTGCTTTCCTTGGGGCTTCTGAGAACCCTCAAACAACGGAGGTGGCTGGAGGCTCTCGTGGGAGCTCCTGGGAAACTGTCGGAGTCATTTGGGAGGCTGTGGAGCATCTCGGAGCTGTCCTTCTTGGTCAGCTCTTTGGGCCCTCTTGGGCCATTTTGTGGCGCTCTTGAGCTGGCTCGGGGGCTTCCTGGGCGTCTTGAGAGCATGTTGGGGGTCTGGGGCAGTCTTGCAACCCGCTCTGAGCCCTCTTGGGCAACTGATGGGATCCTCTTTGGGCTGTCTTGGGGGACCATTTGAACCCTGTTAGGCCGTCTGGGGCGGGAGTGGTGCTCCTGGGTACGCCATCCGGACCCCACCGCTGGGGCCTTCTATGTAGCTCCCTGTGGTGCCACGAAACGTGTGAGTAGTGTTCCGAACGGGGTACGCGTACGCCATGCGGACCCTGCCGCTGGGGCCTTCGATGTAGCTCCTTAAAGGGCCACCTGACGTTTGCGGGGTGTGCCGAATCGGGTGTGGGTACGCCGTGCGGACCCTACCGCTGGGGCCTTCGGTTGAGCTCCATAAGGAACCACGAAGCGTGTGAAGGGTGTGCAGCAATGGTGATGAGGATATGCGGAGGGCAGAGGCAGGGATGGGAGGAGGGGGAAAAGAATTGTAGTCCACATGACGTCGGGCTTCAGCTTCGTCTCCCACATCTCGCTGAGCAGCGTAAGCGCCCGCTGCCATTGCTGGCCCTTCTCGTATGCGCTGATCCCAACGTTGTAGCTCATGACGCCAAGCTCACACTTCAACTCCCACATCGCACTGAACATTAACAATGCGTGTTGTCAATGCCGGCCTTTTTGCATGCGCTGGCAGTCGCAATGTAGTGGCCTGGGAAGAGTTGCGCACTGTAATTGAATCCATTCGCAGAGCAGCTGCAGTGCTGCGCGCCATTGTTTTGTCCGACCACACTTCTTGATTGACGCTTCGAGATGGACAGCGCCTTCTCAAGACCCTCGGCCGATGCCGAACATCCAAAAAGATATGGCACCACGGCAACTTTATTTCCCCCCTTGAGTCTCATCCTCCTGCTCGTCCGCCACCATCTCTTCCTCCTCCTCGTCCTCCTAGTCCTCCTCCTCCTTCTGCCTTTCTTCCTGTGTACGCAGCTCTCCCCTTCCGATGTCGCAGCGCAAGGTGCTTTTTGGGGGGGGAGTTCCAGGCCCGCCACGACGCGCGGCCGCGGACAGAGAAGACATCGGCGCAGTGGGAAGGGATGGGGTGGGGATGGGGCAGGCTGTCAGATGTGGCGCGAGGCCCTCTCCCTCTCCCTCTCCCTCTCCCTCTCATCTCCTTCTCAGTTCTCTCTCCCTCTCCCCCCACTCTCCCCCTCCCCCTCCCTCTCCCTCTCCCTCTCCTTCTAACCTCCTCCTCGATTCTTTCTCCCCCTCCCCCCCCGCTCTCCCCCCTGCCCAATCCCCCATCACCGTCCCCTGCCTGCCCTGGTCTCCGCCCGTTTCCCTCTGCCCGCCCCAGCCTGCCTGATGGTCGCGGTGGCGTTGCCAGACAGCTCCACGCCGCGCAGGCAGTCCCCGTTGTGGCGATCCTCGGCGAGCTTGCAGTCATCCTGAGAAGCGGAGGGATCTATTTTTGAGTCGGGCCTGTCCCCCTACAGGGGGACTTTCGACCAAAAAGTTAAAGCACCCCAACAAGAATCAACAAATAGTCACACAAATAGTCTGGGGACTATTTTTTGAATATTGTTTGACCTTTTTGGTGTATTTTTGGGGGTATTTTTGATTATTCGTCGAAAATCCCCCTGTAGGGGGACGCGCCCGACATAAATCTATTTCGGGAGAGCGGAAGGGGCACTGCGGGCGGCAGGGCAAGGGCAATGTCGAGAGAGTTTGTTCCAGGCAAGGCCGCAGAGCAGCTTCCGAACCAGTTGGGAGCTGACAGAAGGATGATTTCATTGGGCCCCTGGCTCATTCGACCCGCTGCCGTTAAACACCTATGCTTTCAGCACGAAGCAGCCGATCGGGGAAGCGTGCGCGTGACCACGTCCTTGAACAACGCCCCCTGTCGGCCCAGCGCGCTTTGCAACCTGCAAAACATGCTGACTTGCTCATCTTTTCCTCGCCCTACTCCATGCTCCTCTTGCTGCTGCTGCTGCTCCTCTTCCTCCTCCTCCTCGCCTCTCCCTCGTGCCACCTCCCTCCCCCTCATCCCTCCCCCTTATCCCCCTCCTCCCCTTCCTCACTCCCCAAGTCCTCCGGGCCGCAGGTCTGGCAAGTGGCCGGCCTGGAGCCGGCGGTGCCGTGGTGGCGGCCTGGACGGCTCTTCGGGCGCCGCTGGCCAGGCGGACTCGATGCACCAGGGAAGGGGGGACGAGAGGAGAGGGGAGGGGGGGAAACAATAAGAAGGGGGGAAGGTGGATGAGAGGACCGGGAACGGAGGGAGGAAGGGAAAGGATGGGAGGGAGAGGATGGGCGGATGGGAGGGAGGGGATCGAGTGAGGGGGAGGAGGGGGGGGGGAAGGAGAGGGGGCTGGGAGTGGGGAGAGGGGAAGAGGGTGGGCGAGGGGGATGTGGACGGGGGGAGACGCAGGGTATGAGGGAGTAGAGGAGATAGAGGGATGGAGGGAGAGGGGTGGGTAGGGATAGAAGAAAGATATGGGGGTGACTGAACAAGAGGTAAGGAGAAACAACACGACTGTCTAAAATTCTGCGGTTCGTGAAACCTTCCCTCCCATCTCACCCACCCCCTCCACCTTCTCCTCACCTTCCGTCTATGTTTGCTCCTCTTTCCTTCTTATCATGATCCTCTTTCTCTCTACCTCATTTTCTTTTCCCCACTCTGCTGCTGCTGCTGCTCTCGCTTCTTCTCCCCTGGCCGTCTTTGTTGGAAGCCAGCTCGGGAAGTCTGCGAAATTGGCGGCGGCCAAAACGGGGACCAGGGCACGCCGATAGCAAAGCCCATCGTCGACTAGAGAGGTCGATATGTCCCAGGGAAGTTTCTCACTGAGGTTCTTGACGGGGAAGGCGTGGCCAGTTCGAGCGTCCAAGGTGGCCTGCAGTATGCCTCCAGGAAACTCCACGAGTGCCTTGAAGAAGCAGGCTCCACAAGACGCCCCAAAGAGGCCCAAATCATTGAAACACCAACGCTGCTTGTTCCAATGATTTTCGTCGTAACGCCTTTTTTGGGAGCCCCCAAACCAGGTGGTGAGATATCGGGTGGTGACCTGGAATCTCCCAAAAGTCAACGCCGGGTTCTGGAACACGGGGTCACCGCCAGGTTTTGTGACTCCCGGACCCACCAACGTTCGGGACATCCTGGAAAAACCATACGAGTCCCCAAACCGGGGGGTGACACCTCATCGCCCGAGACTCGCCGCTGGGTGTTGTCACCACCATGCTTGGGGACTACCAACTTTTCGGCCTTCGATTGGCCGGTGAGGCCCCCAGATGGCCAAATCAAGTCATATGTAAGAAAACCCTAGAAGTGGCCCCAAGATGGTCCCCAAAGCCCCCAACAGTACTGCGAGGGAGTCTCACGCAGATCCCAAGAGACGGTCTGTCTGGCTCCAGTGGGGCATCATTTATTCAGGATTCCTTGTTTTCATGGGCCGCTGTTCTCCAGCATGGCACCGAGAGGGCCCCTACGGCTCCCATGAATATGCGCAGCAGCAAGATGCCAGAGTCTTGTCAAGGGGCCCAGAGGGGTATAATACATTGACATACGTTCTTGAACTTTCAATACATTGCAGATTCCCTGGACGATCTGTTTTCCCTCCATTTCCCATCTTTTCAAAACTGATGATGGAAATCAGCAATTCTGTGTCTGTGCCTACTTTTCCCTCCTAGGTATTGGCTGCTAGAAAGAACACCGCCACAAGTACGGCGTCGCTGGCACGTCTAAGCGCAAGCTGGCCGAGGGGGGCCCCTGCGGTTCCCGCGAGGGCCCAGAGAGAGCCCCAAGAGGGCCCGCAAAGACTCCGACAGGTCCGCGATATGCCTCGACAAGGGCCCGGAGCCGGACATATCTGAGGAGGCGGCTTCTCAGGCTGAACTCTGCGCTGGTTTGACTGGTACCCCTCCCTTCATGTTTTGCTCTGATGCTCCTTCACTTTCTTCCTCGTGGCACCTCGCCCGGGAATCGCGCCTGTGTGGACCAGCGAATGGGCAGCCTGCTGTACGCTTGCTCGTCCGCCCATCTCCCCCACCTCCCCCTGCTCCTCATACGTCTCCAACTCATGATCCTCCTCCTACGCAGAATCCTCCGCCAGCTCATGATCTTCCAACACATGACCCTCCTCCTCCCTCAACTCGTGCCCTCCTCCAGCTCATGACCCCCCTCCAACTCATGATCCTCCTTCTCCAACTCACGATCCTCCTCCACTTCCTCCTCCTTCACTTCTCGACGGGCGCCGCGGAGGAGGAGCGGGTCAGACGCGATGTGGCACAGCGGCCCCGCGCCGCGGCCTGCGCGGGCCGGGGGCGCGGCACGCCCCATGGGACAACGAGGGCGCTCTCGCGCGACCCGGCGAGGGCAGCTGACGCGTCAATGCCGGCGAAGACGACTCCGTTCTCTCTCGTCGCTCACGCGATCCTCCCTGGTCGTGCCCTCTGCACCTCGTTCGACATCCGCCCGTATCACAATGAGGGCGTGCGGGGCTGCCATACGAGTAGTAGACGTCGCTCGAGTTCGGTACAGGCTTGCACGTGAGGCCGTCTGCGCCTCGGTCTTGCTCTCGCTCTCTCTTTTTTTTTTTTTTTTTTTTTTTTTTTCTCTCTCTCTCTCTCTCTCTATCTTTCCCTCCCTCTCTTTCTCTCTCTATCTCTCTCGATTCCCCTCTCTGTCTGCCTGTCTGTCTGTCTGTGTGTGTGTGTCTCTCTCTCTCTCTCTCTTTCTCTCTTTCTACCAAACAGCGAAGACTGATAGGTTTCTAGTGGTGTCAAAAGAGAGCAGCAGATGACTCCTCAGGGGGGTCGGGGCGGGACCCGGGGCGGCTGCCGTCGAAGCCCAAATCGCCTGGGACATCCTCGCAAAATCGCTCTTGGCGCTGCTAGAACTCCATCCCGGCGTACATTTTGGATGCCCGGAGCCAACTGTAAGCCACTTCGTGGTCTTCGAGTTCCCAGAACTCCATTCCCGGCGTACATTTTGGATGCCCGGAGCCAACTGTAGGCCACTTCGTGGTCTTCGAGTTCCCAGAACTCCATTCCCGGGCCACATTTTGGATGCCCGGAGCCAACTGTAGGCCACTTCGTGGTCTTCGAGTTCCCAGAACTCCATTCCCGGGCCACATTTTGAATGCCCGGAGCCAACTGTAGGCCACTTCGTGCTCTTCGAGTTCCCAGAGAGAGTCCTTCGTGCTCTTCGAGTTCCTGGGCATGATTTTGAATGCCCGGAGCCAACTGTAGGCCACTTCGTGGTCTTCGAGTTCCCAGAACTCCATTCCTGGGCATGATTTTGAATGCCCGGAGCCAACTGTAGGCCACTTCGTGTTCTTCGAGTTCCCAGAACTCCATTCCCGGGCCACATTTTGAATGCTGAGGCAGGCTGAGGCTGAGGCTGAGGCAGGCTGAGGCTGAGGCAGGCTGAGGCTGAGCCCGACGCTGCAGGCAGACTGAGGCTCAGGCTGAAGCAGGCTGAGGCTGAGGCTGAGGCTGAATCAGGCTGATGCTGAAGCAGGCTGAGGCTGAGGCTCTCGCTGATGCAGTGAGGCTGAGGCGGGCTGAGGCTGAGGCCGAGGCTGAAGGCAGACTGAGGCTGAGGCTGAAGCAGGCTGAGGCTGAGGCTGAGGCTGAGGCTGAGGCTGAGGCTGAGGCAGGCTGATGAGGCAGGCTGAGGCTGAGGCTGAGGCTGAGGCTGAGGCTGATGCAGGCTGAGGCTGAGGCAGGCTGAGGCTGAGGCCGAGGCTGAAGGCAGACTGAGGCTGAGGCTGAAGCAGGCTGAGGCTGAGGCTGAGGCAGGCTGAGGCTGAGGCTGAGGCAGGCTGAGGCTGAGGCTGAGGCTGAGGCTGAGGCTGAGGCTGAGGCTGAGGCTGAGGCTGAGGCAGGCTGAGGCTGAGGCTGAAGCAGGCTGAGGCTGAGGCTGAGGCAGGCTGAGGCTGAGGCTGAGGCAGGCTGATGCTGAGGCAGGCTGAGGCTGAGGCTGAGGCTGATGCAGGCTGAGGCTGAGGCAGGCTGAGGCTGAGGCCGAGGCTGAAGGCAGACTGAGGCTGAGGCTGAAGCAGGCTGAGGCTGAGGCTGAGGCAGGCTGAGGCTGAGGCTGAGGCAGGCTGAGCTGAGGCAGGCTGAGGCTGAGGCTGAGGCTGATGCAGGCTGAGGCTGAGGCAGGCTGAGGCTGAGGCTGAGGCTGAAGGCAGACTGAGGCTGAGGCTGAAGCAGGCTGAGGCTGAGGCTGAGGCAGGCTGAGGCTGAGGCTGAGGCAGGCTGAGGCTGAGGATGTGACTGCGACTGCCGTTGCCACTGCGACTTTCATCGCGAATGCGACTGCGACTGCGAGAACAGCAGAATTCTACAACTGGATTCTCATGTGAAAACTTACGGGGAATGCTTCCAGATATGCTCCTACACATCGCTGTTAGGTTGCTTTACCGGGATAATTCTCTTTCTCGATATGTTTATATGTTCATGTATACAGCCATATTAATTTACATGCATGTGTATGATCATATATGTATACACACATTTATACACAAATCTATACATTTAGACATATACATGTGTATCATTGCCCCTTTCGTCTGTCTCTTTCTCACCAGTCCTTGCCAGTCTCTGTCTATTTATACGATACAATGTTTCTTGCTCCCTCCTGTTCATACATTCCGGTCTCTGCCTGGCAATCTCTCTCTTCTCTCTCTTTCTTTATTTTTTTTCCTCTCTCTCTCTCTCTCTCCCTTGTCCTCTTCCGACCATCTGATCAGTGTCGTACGCTTTGTATCCCTTCGGTCAAACCCTTTTTCTCCCATCAGCAATTTTTATCCTCGCGACCACCTGGCCTACTTCGTGGCAAACGATGAAAACAATAGCAGCGCGAATGGCGGTGAGCAACACGTGTGCGAGAACTCCATCACTCCATCGTTAGACACCTAAATTAAAGACCAACCTGTGCACTTTGAGGTGAGCTCAGCGTGCCTTGCCCTTCTCTCTTTGGGCCCCTCGTCTCTTCGGCCCATGTACTACCCATCATGTCCTTTTGTGTTCACGCCGTTACATAGCCCCAAAATTAATTAACTTGCGCCTTGTAAGAATGACAAACAATCCTGAACCCTCGCATTACCACTTGGACCTGGTGGAATTCAACTTTTTTACGCCGCAGCGCGGCAGAGGCGATGAGCTCGCGCGCCCTGGTTGCCCGGAGCGCGCAGCGTCCTCGCCAGCCGGCAGCAGGAGAGGGAAGGAGGAAGAGGGCGGCCGTAGAAAGCAGGCGGGGGAAGGGGGTACTTACTCACCGTGGAAAGAGTTTCAGCAAGAGTGGCCGGCCGGAGCTGGCAGCCTGTGCTGTGGCGACCCGGCAGTGGGCGCGGATCGGCATCGCGACCAAACCCAAGGGCTGAGACCAAGGCTGCAGGCGCTGAAAGCGCGGAGCCAGTCGAACCAGCACGTCAGGAAGGGGGGGACGGCACGCGAGCCCACAGCAGCGAGAGTGGGAGCATCCGAATGTCCGTCACGAAGACGTGAGCGTCAGGCTTTGCTGCAGAGGTACGGCGCCAGCAGGATCCAGACACGGCCTGAGCGTCCGTGGGGGGGCTGGGGCTGCAACGCGCTGCAGCAAAACGCTGCCATGCTGAGCCCGCAGGCTGCTGGGGTGCTGAGTAACTGAACTGCCGGAGCGGCGCAGCCAAGCGAGCAGCCGCCTGCCAACGCCAGGGGTCGCCCGCGCGGCGGGGGGCGGCAAGGGCAAGGGAAGGAGTGGGGGCCACCGGCCTGGCCGGCCCACGCATCGCAGCCGGGCGGGGCATGTGCGCCTGGCCACGGGGCTGGCCAGTGAAGGGCGCCCAGCTGCAAGAGCAGCGGCGGCCCAGCGAAAGCCGGGGGCGGGCTGCCCATCGCGCAGCCGAGGGGCAGCGCAAAGGGCAGCACCAGGCGCGCAACGAGGCTGACTGGCACCTGTGCAAGCAGCATGGAGCGCCAGCCGGACACCGCCAGCGCGTCACCTGCAGAGCCGCACCTGATCGGTGCACATAGTTCTGCGGAAACTTGGGCGCCGCGCGCGGGAGGAAGCCCCTGATCGGTGCACGGTCACGAAAGTGACACAGGGGGGGTGGGGGGGGCACCTTCGTGGTATGCCCCCCGAGCGGGACGATGGCGGGCGAATCGCCATGAGGGGCGGCGCGCGCACGAGGGGCATCTGATCGGTGCACTGTCCAGTCGGCATGGGCGCCGACCTTGGGGGGAAGGCACCCAGCGCGGCACCGCCGGGCGCTGGTCGCGTGACCCTCAGGGTGCCCACCTTGGTTGGCAGGCGCCCATGGAAGTCAAAGCCAGGTCTGTGCCCAGCGTAGGACGCAGCCAGGGCTGCGCCCGGCAACGCGCACCTGGCCGAGGGCCCGCGAGGGCCGCGCGAGGGCTGGCCGTCGTTACGGCGCGTTCGACTTGACATCCTTTCACCAATGAGCGCCCTCCCTCCTGTTCCGCTCTTTCCGCGGCCGCCCAGCCTTCCCGCGCCGCAAGTCTGCATCCAGACAATTGGCTTGTCGAGCGTCCCCGACCACTGCGGGCGCCCCTGCGGATTGCGTCTGCCGTGCTGGGACGGAGAAAAGCTCCAGTGCTTCTCTGATCAAGGCAATTCGCCCATGAACCAGTTCTGGATGGACTGGTGGGGAAGCACGAAGCGTTAATACTTGAAGCCGTCCCGGCCTAATGCGCTGCAAACGTTGCACGAATGAAAAACGGTAGCCCAAGCAAGTCGCCATACTAGATGCGCCCGAGGCCGGCGCATATTCGAGGCCAGTGCTCCTGGGAGAGGTGTGCTTTGAAAAATGAAGAATCGGCTTGAGATTTGATGCCATATCCCCCACGGCCGGGATGAGGACAATGATACATACTCCACGCAAGCATGAACAGAAGAACACGCTTCAATGCATTCGCTCACACAACGCACGCACGAAAAGCGCGGCACACATCGGCACCATGAGCGCAGCATGTTCAGCATAGACGACTCTTGCTGGCACTCGCGACACTGTGTATCGTTTGCCTGAGACAGCACATGCTCTTCCTCTGGCTCCTCCTCATCCTCTTCCTCCGAATTCTCCCCCCTCCCCCCCCGACACCTCCGACCATGACATGGGAAAGTTGAGGGCGCCTCGTCGAAGCAACGATCAGTGTGGGCGTACCTGGGTGCTTCAGGGTCTACGTGTTCGAACATTTCACCAGAACCACTATTGGGAATGCGGTTTGGCTTGTTGTCCATTGGCGTTCCTCGTGGCGGCACTCAGAAACAAGTTTGCAGGACCGCCAAAGACCGCATAGTGGGCGAGGAAACCATGTGAGGAACCAGTTCGGTTGCACTATCAGGAATGTGCTTGCTCAATTGGACCATCACTGTGTGGGCTACTCCCAGCTGCTCTGCGTTCTCCCTTCAGTCTTGCAACGCAGCTCTGCTACCGAGGGCGAGCACCGCCAGCGATCCTTCGGAAAGAAACCACACTCGTAGCCCCAGCCCCCCTGGTTCTGGCACTTGTTTATCCTCCAGTGCCAGAAGGTACCCTGCGGGCATATGCACTTGTCTATGACCTTGGCCGAAAGGGACTGCCTCTCCACCACCTGCGCAAGGAGGATCCCGTGCCACAGACCAGCAGAGGGCGGGGAAGAAGAGGGAGGGAAGAGAGGATGGCGGGATGGGGGGAGGATACGAGGAGGAGAAGGAGGAGGAGAAGGAGGAGGAGGAGGAGGTGGAGGAGTAGGAGGGGGAGGGGGAGGAGGATCCGCAGTGGACAGCAGCGGCGGGAGATTGATGGCAGAGCGCGGACGGGCTGGCCTGCAGACTCACTCTGTGCCAAGCATGCGATCGCGTCGGCAACAAAACGCACGCATGCCGCTTGCCACCCAAGGGCCTCCAGGCCTGGAGCGGAGAGGAGGAACGGGGGGCCCGGGCCGAGCTGAATACAGTACAGGGGCCGATCCGCAAGAAACCTTCCACGAGAAAACCAGCCCTGACACCCTAGGGCGTCCATTGATTTTTGATCTGGGGACGTCACGCCTTCCATCGCAAGACCATCGAAACCCAAGAAACCCAGGGCACCCTGGAGGCAACCAAGTGTGTCTCTTGGCATGGGTCTCCACTGCACCCACCGAGCCAAGTTTGGGCCTCGGGGGCCCTGGGGGTCAACCTGGCACTCTGGGACACCCCCTGTGTGCATGCTCCGTGGCTATCACTCATCCTCGCCTCCCTCCCGCCCTCTCCCTTCCCCCCCCCCCCGATTCGGGGTGGTACCCTTAAGTCGGCCCTGTCCCCCTACAGGGGGATTTTCGATGGCAAATAAAAAAATACAAAAAACAAAAGAAAAATAGTCCAAACATAGTCTGGGGACTTTTTTTTTTCTCTTTTTATTTGACCTTTGTGGGGTATTTTCGGGGTACTTTATATTTTTCGTCGAACATCCCCCTGTAGGGGGACAGGCCCGATATAATGGTACCCCGATCCGCCCGAGATCCCAGAACCAGTGCACCAGCGCACCTTCCTGCGGGAGCCCGGTCTTCGAGGCGCGAGGCGAGCGCCGAGGGCCCGCCGCCTGCAGCAGGTGCACCGACCGCCATCACCACACGACTGGCCGAACGCCAACTCGGCGTATGGGGCGTATGGGGCGTATGGGGCCTATTTGGTTGGGCTATTTTTGGATATTCCTCCTGTTGAGGGACAGGCTCGACTTAAGGGCAGGCGTCGGCAAGGCCAAGCCCCAGGGCCGCGTCCGTGGGTGCCGAGGGGCTCGGGCAACAGCCACGCTCTGCGGGAGGGGGGGGGTGAGCCGGGTCGCCATCGTCGGCGCAGTCGCCGCCGACGCTCGGCGACCGACCGCTTCCGCCGAACCTGGGCCGAGAGGCAGGGCTTCTCGTGTAGGGCCGGGGGGTTGTACCTTTTCCTGTGCAGGATCTTCGGCACCGCCTGCACTCCGCACCCTCCGGCCGCCTGAGGCCCCGCCCGCCCGCGCCCTGTCTCCCCCATTCGGGCTACTCGCGCCTCGTTTGGCTCTTGACCCGAAGGGGCCCGCTCCCGACCCGCAGACCAACAAAAGTTCCCCTCCCGGAGGCGAGCTTCCGCCGAGCCTGCCGAGAGGCAGGGCTCCTCGTGTGCAGGGCTGGGCTGATGGCCATACGGCTCTGTGGCTGGCCTGGGCCGCCGGGTCGCCGGGGCACCTGCTCGGCCCTCACCCGCGCGCGGCGCCAGGTCGGCGCGCCAGCGGGGTGCGCACGCCGCGCGAGCGAGCCCGTCCCCGCCTCCGCCCCCCTCCTCCTCCTCCTCCTCCTCCTGCTCCTCCTCCTCCTCCCTCCTCCCTCGTCCTCCTCGTCCTCCTCCTCCTCCTCCTCCACCTCCTCCTCGTCAACCTCCTCCTCCTCCTTCTCCTCCTCCTCGTCCTCCTCCCTCCTCTTCCTCCTCCTCCACCTCCTCGTCCCTCGTCCTCCTCGTCCTCCTCGTCCTCCTCCTCCTCCTCCTCCTCCTCCTCCTGCCTCCCGCACCTCCGCTCGGCCCCGGTCAGCTCCTCGAAGGTGCCGCGCGACGGAGCCCACCACCACACTGAAGCCATCCGAGACGCGTAGCGCTCGAGCAGGCCCATACCCAAAGCGCCACCGACGAGACGAGCGAAACCGCAACAAGATTAATACATGTCTCGAGCTTCGAGCTATAAGCTGCCTCACTCACTCTCTCTTTGCCCGCCCCTCGAGCCCAGTGTATGGTGCAAGCCAAACCTTGCCTGGTATACGCCAGGCTAGGCACGTGCACGTCATGCCACTCGCAAGGAGAGCGAGAAGCTGGCCGCACGACGGGCTGGTGGGGGTGGTGGATCGGGGCCGGCTCCTGATTCGAGTAATGGTGCCGCAGCGGTGCCTACAAACAATGCCCCGCCCGTTTCGGCACATCCATCATACGTTGTGTGGCTCCACAGGGGGCTCCACCGAACCCCCCAGGAGGGGGTATTCGCATGTGGTGCTTAATCCATTTCGGTGCCCCTCAAACGTTTCGTGGCCCCACAGAGAGCTCCACCGAAGCCTCCAGGGAGAAGTTTACGCGTGCGGTTATCAACCCATTTCAGAGCACCCCATCGCACGCTCCGTGGCCTCGCAGGGAGCTCCAGGGAAGCCCCCATGAAGAAAGTGTTGCACGCGGTTGTCCACCCATTCCGGGGCTACCCCTCGCACGTCCCGTGGTCCCATAGGGAGCCCCACCGACGCCTCCAGGATGGGGGCTTCGCATGCTGGCACCCCCCTCGCACGTTCCGTGGCCCCACACGGGGCTGCATCGACGCCTCCAGGAAGAGAAAGGTCCCGCGTGCGGTTCTCCACCCGTCTTGGCACACCCGGCACACGCTTTTTTGGCCCCACGGGGAGCTCCACCGGCGCCCCGAGGAGGTGGGTGCTCGCGCGCGGATCTCCTGCCTGCCCATGTCGGCACACCCCTCGCACACTTCGCGGTTCCACGGGGAGCTCCACAGAAAGCCCCAGTGGCAAGGCCCGCGTGCGTCCCTGCGTCCAGTTCGGCACACGCCTCACAGGCCTCGTGCCCCCACCAGAGGAGCTCCCCACCGTCAAACTGGTACCCACCACGCGGTACTCACAACTGCGTATGGTTGGGCTTTTCGCCAGGATATTCTTTTCACTTGGAGCCTTGACGCCTTGACAACTGGTTCCAACACGTGGCCAAACCTATCGACAGCAGGCATCCGCAATCGCTTCCCCTGCCCGGGCGGCGCCTCCAAGTCCAGGCCCGTCCCATTCAGTCCAGCGGCGGCCTCATGCTGGCGGCTGCTCCTGGTGAAAAGGACTGAGGGTGAGGGATATAAGAAGGATCTACAGAGGGGCGTATGTGGAGAGAGAGAGAGGGGGAGGGGGGAGCGAAAGAGAGAGAGAGAGATAGAGCGAGACAGAGAGAAGTAGTGATATATATATAAAGAGAGAGAGAGAGAGAGAGATAGAGACAGTACGATTCATGGGTATATATACACATGTATACACAGTTGCTATGCACATACATCTATATATACACAAATGACGAGATAAGGCAACGCTCATGTGCGTCTATGTAACGACACCGAGGGATGGCATTGTACACGTGCATCTGCATGTGTGCAGATATATCGATATACGCGTACACCATAAAGGCATACGCAAGGAGGGCGACACACACTTAAATATGTATTTGCATACGTATATATAAAGAGAGAGAGAGGGAGAGAGGGAGGGCCATGCACACATGACAACATCGATACGCAATCATATTTCTATGTATGCAGAAACCGCACACGTGTACGTAGGCATCTATATAAATATACACATTTATTACTGTATATAAAGATGAGAGAGGGAAACATAAAACGATATAGACATAAGTGCACTCGTATACTTACATACGTATGGGGGGGAGAGAGAGAGAGAGAGAGAGAGAGCCAGAGCGATACAGAAGGATATACTTACTATATCGAGAGGGGGATATATAATGATATGCTTATCGCCAATATGTAGGCGACTGGAGTCTGCTCTTCAACCATGTATAGAGACATACTGCGAGCCACATGTGTACATAGATAAACACACGCACACCAACCTATACAAATATACAAGCACACGCATACATATACACGTACATGCGCTCTGTATAGCAAGTGAACAGGAATACATTGCGCAAACAGGTATCTGTAGAGAACAAGCAAGACGCGACGTAGAGAGCTCGATGTCGACATTTAACTGCGTTCGGGAACTCTGGCATAGCGTGTCGCGGCGGCGCCGCTGGCGACGCGGTATGCCATGCGATCGGATAACGTGTCGCTCTCCGCTCCGTGTGGCGGGAGGATGGCAAAAACTCGGGACGTTGACGATCGGGGACCGCGACGTGGACAGCGTGTCGCGCTGAAGCGTGGTGGGCCAGGACCGGCGGAGCGGCACTTTGAGGCAACGTTCCTGACCGTATACAGAGAGGGAGAGAAAGAGAGAAAAAGAGAGAGAGAGAGAGAGGGAGAGATAAGGGAGGCCATCCTCCTCCTCCTCCTCTCTCCTCCTCCGCCTCCTCCTCTTCCTCCTCCTCCCTCCTCCTCCTCCTCCTCCTCCTCCTCCTCCTCCTCCTCCTCCTCCTCCCTCCCTCCCTCCCTCCCTCCCCCCTCCCTCCCTCCCTCCCTCCTCCTCCTCCTCCTCCTCCTCCTCCTCCTCCTCCTCCTCCTCCTCCTCCTCCTCCTCCAGCTCACAAGCCGTGCTTTGCGAGACGCGCTCCTCTGAAGGAGCCCTGGGACACACAAACAAATACACACAACTAATAGGATTCCCCATATTTTTCTATATGTTCTGGGTTTCTGTCTTGCCCCCCCTTCCCATATTCTCCTATATTTTCGGGGGAATCGACGATTAATTGTGTCTGTGTGTTTCTTTCCCTCCTGATACAAGCCGTGCTGTGCGAGATGCGGTTCTCTTCGGGCCCCCTCGGGGGACCTCACCGGTCGGGGACTCCGCTCCGCGTGCTGCCGCGGCGGCCCCTGGCGACCCGCGATGCCCCGGGAAGCGGACAGCACGTCGCTCCGCTCTGCGGGGGCGGGAGGCTCGGAGCAGCTCGGGATCGTGAGGCTGGGAGGATGGGTGCGTTGGGCTCGTGACAAGCAGCTTGACGACAAGGTGGGGGGGAGGCAACTCCACGGCAAAAAAAAAACACGCGAAAGCGGGGGAGGCTTTCGCCTGCCGCTTTCGCCTCCCGCTTTCGCCTCCTGCCTTCGCCTGCGGGGCGGGAGGCTCGCAACAGCTCGGGACGGCGACGCCGGGGAACCGGGAAGCGGATCGCACGTCGCGCGGCCGTGCGGCGGGCCAGAGCCGTCGGCGCGACGCGCCAACGCCACGGCGTTGTTGACCACATTGCGGTCCGATGATCACGCCGCATCGCCGATGCGCTTAGTGGGCCCTGGAAACGGCAAGGCCGTTTTTTTATACGGGTTCCGTTTTGCCGGTTTTTTGCCGGTTCCGACGCCGTTGTTTTACTGGTTCCGTCGCCGTTTTTTGACCCGTTCCGGCTCGGGGTCCAATCCTGGAACCGTTTTTTGCCGTTTCCTGTCGCCGTTTTTTGCCGTTTCCATTTTCAAGGGACACTTTTTCGGAAACGGTGAAAAAACGGCCCTGCCGTTTCCGGGGCCCACAAAGCCGATGCGTCGCCGATGCATCGAAGACGTCGGCGTGGAGAACATTGGTCTCCACGTCGAGCCGCATTCCCGATGCGCGGGCGATGCATCACGACCTTTCCGACCCATCTGCTCCGACCCCATCTGGGAGAAGCCCCTCCGCCCTGCCGAGGCCGTCGTCGTCGTCTTTTGCATTTTCGTCTTCGTCGTTTCTGTTTTCGTCATCGTCGTCGTCATCGTTTTCGTCGTCGTCGTTGTCGTTGTCGATGCCGTCGTCTCCGTCGTCGTCGTCGTCGTCGTCGTCGTCGTCGTCGTCGTCGTCGATTTCGTTTTCGTCGTCGTTGTCGTTGCTTGTAGCGTCGTCGTCGTCGTAGTCGTTTTTGTTTTCGTCTTCGCCAGTTCTTGTGTTCGTTGTCGTCGTCGTCGTTTTCGTCGTCGTCATCGTCGTCGTCGTCGTTTACGTCGTCGTCGTCGTCGATTTCGTCGTCGTCGGCGTCGTCGTTTTCGTCGTCGTTTGCGTCGTTTGCGTCGTCGTCGTCGTCGTCGTCGTCGTCGTCGTCGTCGTCGTCGTCGTCGTCGTCAGCGTGTTGCACTCCAATCAGCGGTGCTGCCGGGGGGCGGCGTCCTGGCGCGCACGGAGGCAGGCGCGGGCGCGCGCCAGGTCGCCCGTTGGGCCCGCAGGCGCGAGCCACTCGCCTGGCGCGGGCAACTCGCCAGGAGACGCTCCTCCCTCCTCCCTCCTCCCTCCTCCCTCCTCCTCCTCCTTCCTCCTCCCACCTCCCGTCGCCCTCCCCGCCTCCCCCTCCCCCCCCCTCCCTCCCCCCGTCCTCGCTGCCGATCCGCTGGCCCGTGCTGCTGCCAGTCGCGCGGCAGCTCGGGAGAGGCGCCAATGAGCGAGCGCATCGCCCCCTGGTCGGGCCGGTTGGCAGGTCATTTCTAGCAGCGGTGTGCTGCCCAAAATTATTTTAAACATCAAAACTAGTCAAACATTATTAAACAATAAGATGGGAACTATTTTTTAAAGTATTCTTGACCATTGTGGAATATGTTTGACAATTTGTCCTTTTTCGTTTAAGATCCGCATGTTGGGGGACATGCCCTGGGCTGCACTGACGTTCTTCGCGATTTGGCTTCCAGAGCTGAGCACCTCTCCACGACGCAGCCATCGTCCGCCGCCGCCTCCTTCCATCCTCGGCCGTTCTTCGGCGATGGACGAACCTCCCAGTAGCAAACCTCCCCTCAGAGAAAACGGCCCGGGACCGAAACCCACAGACCTGGACCCGCAAAACTGACGGCCGCGACGCCCTCTCGCGAACCGGAAACGGCCACTTCGCTAATCGATGTTTAACGGGCGAAGAACGGTATAAAATAAACTTTTTCGCTGTCGGAGGCGCCTGTCCCAGGGCGGCTGGACAGTTTATACCCTTACGGTGGCACCGTAGGGGTATAAACTTTCCAGCCGCCCA